GGGCATATCCCACCCAGCCCCATCGGATGACGCCCCCCCGCACCGAACAAGATAGTTCCACAGCAATAGCTGATGAAAAATTGGGAGAGTGTGGTGCTGCTGTTTGAGCTGCACAGACTCGTGGCAAGAGACCCGGCCCGCTATTGAAACCCGGTGTCGAGAAAGTTGGGCTTTCACGATATTTTATGACCAAGAATGGTTTAGGTCAAAGCGTCTCCATATGTACCATACGTGTAGTTTCTTTGAAATAACCGATGTTCTGATGACAATTTATGGGATGCATTTAAATGTTGCCTGCGAGTGTGCAAGGGTATTCCAGATGTTCTTTTTTTTAGGCGGTGAACGCGTCCCAGAAGTCAGTTTATGAGTCCATCGCTTGGCTGTAAAACTCCCTATAAATGAGGGTGAGGCCACGGTAGGATTTACAAAGAAAGCCTTTGGAGGCAAAATGTTTTTTGTTTTTTTTTCTAGTTTTTTCTAGTTTGTCGTTTGGTTGGATTGTTTTGTGATTCTGGTCAATACGCTATTGATTATATTCCTCTTTGGAAACGGCGTGAATAAGGTGTAGTTGGCTAACTGGGACCCGCAAGTGACGAGAAGGATATTTGAACCACCAAAGGATTGAAGCTTAAACTCCATTATCGTCACCCGGTCACTCAAAATGTGTGTAAAATGCACCCGGATTATGGTGGATAAAGCATGCAAAAAGAGCAAATATCATCAGCATCGTGCTTTTTGCATTAGATCGCTTGGAGTACCCAGTAGCTAGAATTTATGGCATACTGTGTTCTTCGAAGTTCAGAAAATTTATTGTGAAACCACATGGTATTTGCTCAGCGAACATCCCCTCAAAACTTCAGCTTTCTGTCTTTTCTGGTCGTTGAGTGAGCAATTCTCCCAGCAAAAATTTTCGGCGCGAAAATTTTGCCAGTGGGATCCTCGGTCAAGTGCCACCCCAAGACTGCAGTACCAGCCCTCACAGGCGTCTAGGCCCAGCGTGCGAGCGCGTGAGAATTTTGGCGGGAAAACTGCTAACTCGGGAACCAGGAAGGCTGGGAGGCCAAAATTTTGAGGGGATGTTCTCCGCCATGCACAACTTAAAAACTTCAAATTGAGGCTCCAGGAGTGTGTGGGAGAGTTGCCGTAATTTTGAGGAGATTAAGGAATGAGTTGCCGTAATTTCTCGTAGATGAGGAAAAAAATGTAAAAAAAAAAACTGAAAAACGATTTATAAATGTGAATATGAAC